ATGCCACACTTGTAAAACCGCAATGAGAAATCAGAACCAAGAGAAAATGTTACACAATTAAAAACATGTGCAAGCAACATTTTACAGGCAGCTAATACAGGCCAGTCAACCAAAAAATAAGAAATTTAATTTCTTGGACGTCATGGCAAAGCCAATAAAAGTGGTTAATTGCAGAAGACCAATTTTCTAGATTAAAGCTAGGTCCTATATTAAAATTTGGCAATCATAATTACCTGGGGAATGGTGTGCTTGAAAGTACTAAATTTTCCAACAAAAGCATCCAAAATACGCCCCTGAAGAAAAGTGAAGATGCAAGAGAAAATCTCATCAAATGAGTAATTCAAGCTAAGCTAACAGAAATTACAGCAAACCTCATACCAATAAAACCCGTGCTTCATCCATTAATGACTGGTCGACCGCTTTCTCAAAAATAGGTTCCACCTAAATTTCAAAATGGAAATTCATGACATAAGAGTCAACAGCAAAACATGAAATGAATCCATTACTATACATATAAGATGCAAAGATATCATAGAAGTAATAGAAAAGGCACCAGATTTAACATCAGCCGAGCACAAGTCGTATGAATGCCTAATGACAATGAAGCATCATGCATATTACTTGAGAACAAGTAAATAATCCGTGACAACTGCAGCAAGAATATAAAGTTTATCAGCATCAGAACAAAAGGCCCACTTGACTCAGCACAATCGTTAAACCTATAACAAGAGCAATGGGAGAGAGAGGCAGTCAGATAAAACCCTGATCTGAGAACAACACCTGCAACAAGGAAAGGTCGCCCCTGACATGATGAACTATCTCTGCGAGGAGACTATATGCCAATGGCCTCAAAGTCTCAAAGCATGCACGCCCAGTTCCAACTAGAACCCTGAAGTAAAACAGAAGGAAGTGAAAGAAATCAAATGGAAGGATCAGCAATAATTTTCTCTTTTACATTTGAATATCAGATTCATGGACAAAATCAAAAACAAAGATCAATAATGAGTTTCTTCAACATTTGAATCAGATTCATAGGAAGAAAGCAGACACATAGGTCAAAGCATATAAAATTTTTAGCTAGGCAAATTTATAAATTGATAATTAATGCAGTGGAACAACCAAACCCACCTGCCTAGTTGGACCAGTATACATTTTTAAAGACAAAAGAAATACTAAATAATACAAGATACCTTCTAGCAACTGATATTTCTAGCCAAAGCATCCTAGCAGACAGAAGAATTATCTGTCAAAGTTTGGAAATACTAGGGGGTGAAAGTTCACCATCATGCCTACATAGAGAATGTATCATAAATTGTTCTAAAACATAAACAGAAAATTCACGGTTTAAGGAAGTTATTAAATGGTCCAATAGGGTTCAAAATAATGACACTGAAGGGAATAATGTAAAGAGTCCTCTCAGATTTTTGGGACTAAGAGACTAAATTTGTTACTGCAATGAGTTTATCCTTCAAGTATACTAGAGCTCTGACAAAAACAAATCCTTCTTTTAGTCTTCAAGCTTTGCTGCAAATGATAGTTGACAGCTACTAAAAATTGTATCATGTTAGTACAACGTGCCCAATCATCCAAGGGTTTCAGGAACTGACATCAGAACTGGGCAGTTCTTTGAAATTAACACTTTTGTTTGCCACTGATTTACCATGTGTTGCTTAAGACATGCTTGAGCTTCCACCAATATGACAGCAAAAGTGATATTGAGGTTGATCTTCTTAAGTTTTTTCTTTTACTCTTGGAAATTTAATTGCTTCTCATTACAGCATCATGCCGAACACATAGAGAAACAGGACTATTATTTACCTGATCTCTCTTTAACAACAAAAAGTTTGACAATATAAGATCTTTATCATGGTTTAATGATTTGTCCTGATGTAACAACATAGATAAAGGGGGAAAGAGAACCTTTACCTCTCTTCCAATAGCGTGTCAATCAAAGGAAACAAACCCCTCTTGAAATCTGTGCCCAAAACATGTTTTAAGGCTACCAACAGCTCCTGCATCCAGCATAATCATGCATTAAAATTTAAAACCAGAAGAACCAAACCCAAAAAGAAGAAAAGAAACTCAGACACAACTCGCCTTTCTAATGGATACAGAGTCAGAACATGTAACAAGCAAATTCACAATGCTTTTACATATGCTTTCTTCATGTGGCCTGATACAATCAGCAAAGCTCTTCAAGAGGTAAGTTAAAAAGGAAACTGTCTGCAATAAAGGTGAAAGAAAATCAGGAAACAAATAGAGTGCATTCAAAGACAAAGAAAGGAATTAATATAACTAAAATTGCAGGGTTCACTTTTATCTCAAATGAAAGGATTTGAATATAAAAACAAACATGATATATTTGGGAGGATGTGCACAAGAAAAGTGTTCAAACATGTTTCTGGCCTCATTTCTTTTATAAAATGAATAATACTTCTTGGCCTTTAGCACAGAGAGCTCCAAGGATCAGTCCTTTTAAGAATACTGGAAAGCTACAGCCTTTTTACATCCTAAAACAAAATTGAGGCCATGACAATTTCAGTTTTCAATTTTATTATCTTCAAAAAACTGATCTCATTCAAGGAAAAGTTCAAACAAGTGCACTTTTCTAAACAGCAAAATGAAAATAAGATTTTCACAAATACTTCAAAAACAGATCATATACAATCTTTGACATGAAAAGTCTCAAACAACCCAATCACACTCTTCTATATCTAGAGCATTGCCTTGAACTAGTTTTATACTACAAATTATTTTACTAAGTAGCAAAACAACAATTGAAAGACTAGAGAGCGTGAAATAAGAATCACACACCTTAACCTGTGCACCTTTTAACTCAATGAATTGAGTCTTCAAATGGGGAGGAACCCTCTCAGGTCCCAGAACAGAAATTGCAGCAACCATCAAAGGTAACAAGTGAGGAATATTAGTTTGTACAAGACGACCATACAATTGAAACAGAAACATAACTACAAGTGGACTCTCTGTAACTATCTTGAATGACCGCGTACTTGGATTCAACTGCCCGTTCCCAACATATCCACTTGAAGTAATCCCTTGATCTGAAACTGAAGAAGTATCCATAGGCTTCACATCTAATTCCATTCCAACCACAGCATTATCAAAGAAATGGCTAACTGTCAACCTAAAATTCTGGTAAATCTTGCAAACAAAATCTAAAAACGGTTGAACCTCATTTTCTAAAGTAGGTCTAAAATTCCTAAGAAGATCGAAGATAATTCGAATACAAATTAAGCCATTTTCTTCATTATCAGTGGTTAGCACTTGCATAGCTACTTTTAACAGGTCTTGTACAAAAGGTCGAAGGACTTCACTATGAGGAAGTCTATTGAGAATTTCCACCACAATGTTCCTCAGTTTGTGCTCAGGATTGTCAGCCAACTGGGGCTTTGTGATATGTAACAGGACGACCGAGAAGGCTCGGAAGTAGCATTTGAGGAAATTTAAATACTCAGCAGTGTGAGCTATCTCGAGACTGTCTCTAACCTCCATTGCCATTTGCAACCTTGTCTGAATTGCTGTTTAAAAAAACACACACACACAAAATTACAGGAAATAAATTATGTTCTCAAGGTTTTCATTCATTTTCTCGGGAAAGAAACAGAGCAGGAAAATGAAAAGAGTGAGAGAGAGAGAGAGAGTACGGAGGTCAGGTTCAACGAGATGGCGAGAGTGTTGCTCGAAATTCTGAATAGGACTCATGGTTGGAAGCAAAACCCTAGCCTTTTCGAGTTTTAGCTCTCTAGGGTTTTTCCATAAAACTTTCACTCTTCTTCCTTCTTTCTTCTTTCTTCACAATTGAAAATTGAAAAGCTCTCAGTTGAGGCTGAATTGCATCTTGGCACGATCTTCAATTTATGGGGTTTTTGGATAAAATTCGAAATTAGGGTTTTGGAATTGAAAATGATTTCAGCACCAATAGAGAAGATCGCAGTTCCGATTCGCAATATTACCGGTTAAGCTTCCTCTCTTTCTTCTTTGTTTTTTCTTTTTCTCTTTTTTTCTTTTTTTCTTTTTCGTTTCCTCAGGGCCCTCGAGGACACGGCATAAAACGTAGTGGGTGGATTGTAAATTAGGGGATTTATAGACCCAATTTTCTTGACCTTGCCGCGGGTCCATTTTCTTGGGTCACAACCTAATGGACAGCATGCTGGGCTTCATATTTGGACCTTCCCCAATTTCCTTTCACCCCATGTCCCAAACCAAAAGGGTTCTTAAAGTTTCACTTTTTGTCCCAAAAACATTTAACCAGATTTCTTACCTTTGACCCAATTGTATTGGGCTACTGCAATTGTGATCCAAACTCGGTTTCATACTTCTTTGCCCAGTCCACAATTTTTCATATTCTACGACAGTACCTTGTTACTAACTCCGCTCATGGAGGTAGTTTGTCACGAAAATTATGGTCCACTAACGACTAAAGGAGCCTTATCAGGGGTGGATAGAGGTATAAATGACTCGTCGTGTCCTCGTTTGAATTTGATTTAATCATTGTCATATTAAATTTGAACATTTTAATATTTGATTTAATAAATTCGAATGTTTAATTGAGTTTTTTATTTTAATAGCTTTTTTATTATTTTATTTATATATATATATATATGTAAATATGTATATATAAATGAATTTAAATTTAAATATAAATAATTAAATTTAAAGTCAAGTATGAAAATTAAATTTATTTTTTTATTCAATAAATAATTTTAATCAAATAAATTTAAATAATTTAATTTTTATGTCTAATCAAATTTTAATTTATAAATTAAAACTTGATCAAACTAATTTTTTCGAACTCAAATTTTTAGTTGTATTGATTCAGTTGGGGTCGATCACATGTCTAGCTACGCCAAGAAGGCAAGTCCTAGTCAAGACAAGGGGCCAGGGGGAGTGCTTTCAGGTTCACACATTAGAACTTACGAACAAAAAAAGGGATCCAAATGGCAACCACCCCTTGTCAACTTCAATTAACAGAATTCCAGTGAAGTGGACGCGAAGAAACTAACCCCAACAATGATAATATCTTTTATTAGCTTCCTCTAAGTTAAGCTAATTATATCAAACTCCATTACTAACTAACTTTCTTTATCTTTCGCTTTCATCTCTCTCTTGTTGTAATTACTTGGTATTAAAAGGAGATCTTTGTCACCACCTCATAATTCATTCATTCACGTCCCATGTTCTATCCATCTATCTCTGGTTCACTGGAGTTGCAACAGCCTTCGGCCATGGAGAGGGAGGAAGGAGGCGTCATTGTCATTGGAAGGGCGGAGATTGATACCCGACCACCCTTTCGGTCTGTTAAGGAGGCAGTCATGTTATTTGGAGAAAAAGTTCTGGTTGGAGAAATTTATGGCAACAAGCTCAAAGAGGTTTGTCTCTTTGTCTATACTTGAATTTATATATTTCTGCTAAGGTTGCTGATCAAATTTTACTCATGGGAGAAACAAATGAAACAGTTCATGCACTTTAATTAAATATGGAACCATAGTTTATCTCATGCAAAATAGTAGTATCATAAAGCAAGTAGTTTAGAGATGATCAGTGGTTTTTATGTCAATGAGTTTAGCATATTTGATTCATACAATCACTTTTAAAATACGGCATCTGGTAGGTCTGGGCTCAAATATATCGGGTAGTAGGGAGTTGGAGGGCTTATTTATAATTATGCCTAGTCTTGAATATGAATGTAAGACGTTTTAATTACTATTACCTATACATAGTTGCTGGTAATAACGCGAAAAATGTTGGATTTTCTCTGTTAGATGAAAGCTGAAGCTGGAGAAAGAGGGCAGAGTCGATCAAAGATTTCAGCCCTAACAGCTGAGCTAGAAGAAACAAAGCAAAGCCTGCAAAAGGCCAAAGAGGAAGGCAACTTGATGTCATATCGAATAAAAACACTGAGGGAAGAGCTTGAACAAACCAAAAAGGAGCTACAACAGGTCATGGCAGCAAGAGAGTTCCAGAAGCAGCGGTTTGATCCTGATATAGAAGACTTTAAGTTTATGCAAAACGCAGCCAAAATAGGCACCATGACACGAGATGAAGAGCCAGAGGAGTTTCAAAAGAAGAGATACGTGAAATTTGCTAGCCCTCCTTCATTAGCTCAAGTTATTGTCAACAGAGAAGAAAAGCTGGAAAGACCAACCTCGGCTAAGAAAGTTAGAAGGAAGCCATTAATCCCCATAATTGGATGGCTATTTTCCAAGAAGAAGGGAAATAAAGAAGATGATCAGTACTAAGAGCAAATGAGTTCCGAGGCATTATTAGTTAGGCATGCAATATTTTTCTTTGTCATGGTTTAGAGAAGGGTATTAATTTTGTTGGAGTAGCCACCAAAATGGCTGGAGCTTGTGTAATAATCATAGATCATGCACCGAACATTTGGTTTTGGAGCATGATTATTGAATTGGCTACAGTGCTCAAAGAAAAATTTTCGAATTCTCTCTTTTCAAATGCAAAAATTTGAGAAAGTTATTGCAATAGTAAAATGAAAAACTAAAGGGAATGATGTGATGGATATCAGAAATGGTGATGCATTCATATTAGCAGACAAAAATCAATCCAACAAGTCCCTTCAATGTTTACAAATCTTGCAAACAAAAACGGACAGTCATCGGACAGCAAATTCAATTCAAAGCATGGTGGAGAAGGATTCACTAGCTCCATATTGATGTGAAACAGATAATTGTGCAAACTAGAAGAACATATTTTCATGTCTTATTCCAAAAGGGTAAAAACAAGGATTCTTTGATGACCGGCAAGTCGGCTGAATTGAATTTAATGTACTTGTGGTTGAGCCATAAACGATTGCATTAAAATTATGTAGCCGATTCACATGTAGCCATGTGAGCCTTATGAGAATACCAGTCAAGACAAAAAAAAAAGTTTGCTAACATGCTTTGCTAATCTACTTTTAACACATTAATTACAAGCAAAACCGAAACTCTAGGGGTCATGGTTTAAGTCCTGGGACCATTTCCAATTCCTGTGTTTTTAATATACTAAAGCAACTTTTCAAAAGGAAATTATTATCCTGACCCTGTTTTCTGGATTATTATGTCTTGGTATGCACATGATGAAGTCGTTATGATTGTTCCTTCAGATTATAAATATAGAAGAGAACTGAAAACAACTTAATTTTTAAAACTTGTTTTTATAAACAATTGTTGTGCATGATTTTTAAAACTGATTCCCAGCTTTTTCCAGCAAAATTTCTGACACTATGATTAAGGATTAAGGTTTTCAGGCCCCATAGCAAAAACTCAATGATGCTTCCCTTTTCAACCATTATAGCCATTGGAAGTTAATTAACAACATGCATATAAAAATTGTCTGGTGGTGGATTAGATTCTTGTATATAGGCAGGCCCTCTATTATCAAAGGCAAACGACCTGAGAATATGGGGAAAAAAACCAGAGGTAGCCCCAAGTAAATGAAGAGCAGTATTCTTTGCATGCCAAGGCTCAAAGGAAACAACAAAATCAAACGTTTATCACCAATGACCCTGTTAGAACGCTTCCGAGAAGCAGTTTTTCGCCTGATAATGCTGTCAGCTCTCACGACCAAGGCCTCACATCAGCACACTAGCTCATCCACCAGCCCACAAAAATATAACCGGCAGGCTGACGCTCACCATAGCGAAGCTGTGGCAGATTGCATCGAAGTCATCAAGAAAACGGCGACCAGAGAGGAGAACCGGGACTCCAGTGTTAATAGTTCAAATATGGAAGCTACTAGTGAAGTGGTCATGCCGGTTCCAGTTATGTGATATAGACATTTTCATGATTTAAATGTGAGTTTGTTTTATATAGAACTTCTGGTTTTAGTTTGAAGATTTGGGTAAATGTATAATATGAGGTGTGAGATGTAGATTTGTAAATTGTGTATGAAATTTAAGGGAGTTGTAGAAATTTATTTTTGGCCTTTTTTGAGTTTGTATTTACAGGAAATTTCCATATCTGTTTTTCTATTGATGGTTTGAATTTATTGATGTATCAAAACCAGAGATCAAAGTCCCACCTCGAGAAATCATTAGATTTGTTAGATCAATGTCCCTGAAACATATTAGAGAGTTAATACATACATATTGGATATCACGTGAGTCTAAAAGTTTAAGTTATTAAGTTCTTGGGTATTCTATATATATATAGGACATCTCATTAAAATTTTTTAGTAATGTAAGATTCTTTACTCAGTGAACCATCCTAAAAATCTCTCACGTTCACTTGTGAGTTATCATCAAATCCCACCTCTGCTCTCCTATGCAAGTAAATCCTATCTAACACCTCATTTAAGCCAAGCAACCTCACATCTTGGACCTTTGGCCCAACATTCAACCTTACCTCTCTGTGGGTTCAACCTTGTCTCTCTATGAGTTTAAATTATCTCAATGCCTCTCAAGTTTGGACTGAATCATAATACACAACCTTATTGTTTAGGTTGTCTCAGTGCCTCTCAAACTTACAATCAATCACAACCTGGACTCAATCTAAGTACTCCACTATAGGTTGACTCACAGTCTGGACTCAATCTAAGTCCAACCTCGACTCCTTTATATGAGTAAGTCTTATCAACACCTCATTTGGGTTGGGTAACTTTACCTTAGAATCAATATTGCACTTCATCACAAGTTGACTCAGTACATCTTAGTGCACCTTAGGCCTAACACTCAATCTTGCACTCCATCATAGGTTGACTCATAGCCTGGACTCAATCTTACACTTTATCACAAGCAAACTCAGTACATCACTCACTTGAGTGTTTCGTTTTCGCATATTATCATATACTAGCTGCAATCCAAGTCGAACCTTTTTACTCTGAAACTGATATTCAAGTATATGGAGTTGATAGACACGATCAATATTTGATTTGCCATAGATTGATATGCTAATAATTTTCCCCCAGCAACACCACTAGGACTCAAACTCGTAACATTGGCTCTGATATCAAATATTAGAGATAAGCCACATTTGGAACCTATGGGAGCACACTAAAGAGTTCATATATACATATTGGATACTATTTGAGCTCAAAAACTTACTGTTTAAGTTGTCTCAGTGCCTCTCAAGCTTGCAATCAATCATAGCCTGGATTTAATCTTGTATTCCATCATAGTCACAACTTGGACTCAATCTAAATACTCCATAGTTGACTCATAACTTGGATTCAATCTAAGTCCCACATCAAATTTTTCGTACGAATAAATCCTATTAACATCTCTTTTAGGCTAGGTAACTTTATCTTGAACTCAATCTTACACTCATCACAGGTTGACTCAGTACATGGCAATGCACCTTAAGCCCAACATTCAATCTTGCACTTCATCATAGGTTAACTCACAGCCTGGACTCAATCTTATATTCTATCACAGGTTAACTCAGTACATTATCCATTTAGGTGTTTTGCATATTATCATACACTCGTTACAATCCAAGTTGAACATTTTTACTTTGATATCGGCATTTGAGCACATGGAGTTGATGAACACGATCAATTTTCGGTTTGTCATAGGTTAATCTACCAATAATCTCCCTCTAGCAACACTATTGGGACTCGAACTCGTAATCTTAACTCTGATACTAATTGTTGGGGAGATAAGCAATATTTGGAGCTCATGAAAGAGTATTAAAAAGTTCATATATACAAGTCGGATACTACTTAGAGCCTAAAAGCTTAAACTATTAGGTTCTCTATATATATATAAGGTATCTCATTTAGATTTTTTACTGATGTAGGATTCTTTACTTACATGTGAACTTTATTCTAACAATCTTCCTTATTTACTTATGAGTTCTCATCAAGTCTCACCTCGACTCCCTCGTGCGAGTAAATCCTATCAATACCTTTTTTGAGCTAGGCAACCTCACATCTTTAGTGCGTTTTTAGGCTCAATCACAACACTCAATATTGCCACTTAAGTTGTCTCAATACCTTTCAAGCTTGCACTCTAAGTTGACTTAATACATCACCTACTTGGGTGTTTTGTTTCTGCACACTCGCTGCATCTAAATCGAACCTTTTTACTAGAAGCAAAATCACTGCATCTAAATCGAATCTTTTTACTTTGATATTGGCATTTGAGCATATGGAGTTGATAGACATGACCAACCTCCGATCTGCCAATAATCTCTCTGCTAACAATATCACTGAGACTCGAATTTATAACCTTGACTTTGGTACCGGTTGTTGGAGAGATAAGTCACACTTGAAGCCACAAAAGCACACCAGAAAGCTCATACATATATGTTGGATATCACTTGACCCAAAAACTTTAAGTTATCATGTTTTTAGGTCTTTTATATAAATATAGAACGTCTTATTAAAATTTTTTAATAATATAATTTTCTTTATTCACATGAGAACCGTCCAAATAATCTCTGGACATAAAGTTATTTAGTTTCCTCTTCATGTGCCTAAGTGACGCTCGAATTGGGCAAACTTAACTATTGTGAGCACAAATTGCTTATTTTGTGGATTTAGTCCTGAATCCAGAGATCATCTATTTTTCTCATGTCCTTTATCTCATCACGTTTGGGCTGCTCTTTTGCAAATCTCTAATATCCATCATGTTGTTGGTGATTGCAACTCTGAACTCTGAAGTCTGAACTTCAATGGGCAATTTGTTCTCTCAAAGGCAAGTCTTTGAAATCTACCATTCTCAGACTTGCTTGGACAGCTTATATCTATTTTATTTGGAAGGAAAAAAACAAAGAAAATTTGGCCGATCCCCTGCAGTGTTGATTCTTGATTCTGTTGTTGCTTGTATCAAGGAGGCAGTTCAACTAAGGATTTGTAACTCTTCTCTGCGAGTCATATCCTCAAGGAACTATATTTCTTTTTTTCTTGGGGACTTAATAGTTTAGTGTTTTTTAAGTTTGTAATGTCTTAGTTTTAACAAGTTTACTGTAGCAGACATTGTCTGCTTCTTTTCATGTACAAAATGCATTTATCCAAAAAAAAAAAAAGAAAAAGGCCCGCAGATGTTGGATTCTCCTTTGTTTCCTTCCTTTTCTGTCAGGTTCATACTTCATACTTTATTTTAACAGGAGATAAGTCAACAACTGCATTGCATGATAAACACAAAGGTCCAGTTGGTTGTGTTGGAGTAGTTACATTTAATCATGACAGCTATACAAGTTCCAAGAAAATCAGCTTCATGTCTGGAAAAATATATATCTTTTTCTTTGTTTGCTAGAAGCAATTAAGAACATCTTATTATCATTTTTTTTGGAATAAAATATGAATTTCATTCATTGAAATGGTTACAATCGTCATGTAATTGTTGCAATATCATAGGAGGGACCTCCTTAACCCAGAATTCATCAGCATCAACTTGTAATCCATATTTTGCTAGCTCATGGGCTACCTTCGTTCTGGCTTCCTCAACAATTGTTCCAACAGGAGACAAGTCAGGTTCTGATGACTTGAGTTTCTTCATGATCCAAAGAGCATCACCTTCGAGTACTATGCTGCTGAAGCCCATTTCATGTACAAAATCCAATGCCTTGACTGCTGCTACTGCTTCCACTGTAAAAGGATATGTTGCTTCTGTTATTTTAATGGCTGCTGCCCCAAGTGCATTTCCTTTAGATTCCCTCACGATAATACCTGCACCTTCAGAAAAATTTTCAATTTGCTTTTTTTTTTTTTACAATGGCTTGTTTAGGGCAGCGATCTGAAAAGAAGAGAAAGCATCATTGGAACTCACCGAAGAAATCCTTCAAATCATGGAAATCGGCATGGTTTTTAAAGATTATCTAAATTCCACCTCCTAATTTATTCTTTATTTCAATTATGTCATAAATTACAATTGTTAGCTGAAAAAAATGATTTTTTTTCTTCAATTATTTTTCACAGAACATATTATTTAGTAACTGCTAGTGAAGATGAACCTATCCGCCTTCATGATGTTTCCAGTGCCACTTAAGCAATAATGTGATGGTTTTCCTTGCTTTATTAATTTGAAAATCAATGTTCTTTGTTTAATTTAATTAATTTTTTCAGATGTTTGAAAACAATTAATAGCAAAAAGTATGGGGTTGATCTAAGTTTGCTTTACTTCGCATCCTACTCTTCAGAGAATGGTTGGGATGGTATGTTATCACTGCAACTATCTGAATGTGTTTTTGTTGGTGTTATTTTAGTTTTTGTATTGATTGGTGGAGTTCCAATGTTTCATTGTTTTAGAGTTGTTCCGGCTTCTGTCATTGCATAATGACAAGTACTTGTGCTAATTTAAAGGTCACCAATGACAGGTTTGCTTGTTGATACCAATTAAGTGCTTGCACACCAAAAAGTATCTGTAATTAGGATTTGTTTGAATGATATTTGTTATTGTTTGTATTCCTTTTAGAGTTGTTTCACTTAGCCTATGCTCACACAATGAATCTTTCATCTCTGGTTCTTTTGATCAAACTGCTCTACTCTGGGATCAACGCACAGAGAAATGTGAGGTGAATGGCATGTTTAGATTGATATTTAGATATGCGTTTCTTTCCTTCAAATTTTCTATTTATTGTATTATAGGGTCTTTTACACGTGCAAGGCAGGCCTGCCGTAGCTTATGATGATCAGGGGCTAGTCTTTGCTATTGCCTTTGGAGGATACATCAGAATGTTTGATGCCCTCATGTATGAAAAGGTTCACAATTTATATAAGATAACCTCAGGGGTTCATCTTTTCCATAGATGGTCTCTTTGTATCCAATTGGGAACTTAGAATCTGTTTCGGGCCCTTCTGAAATCTTTTCTGTTGGGGGAGATGTTTCCAATGCAAATGTTGGAAAGTTAAGCAACAATGGATGACTCATGCTTTTGACAACCATGGATGGGTTATTCATGTGCTTGATTCATTTCGTGGCACGCTTGTGAGTTAATCAAACGCTTAACGTCTTTCATGCGAAATTTGCAATTAATTAATCAAGATCATGCTAAGTGGTCCATATACACTTGTTGACATTCTTTTTCTGTTATTGTTGCTTTTAGTTATCCACATACAATGTGAAGCCAGTTGTAATTTCATATGTTATTTTCTTTTATATTTTAGTATATATCTCATCCCCTTTAAATTATTTCCTCCCTTAAAATGTTAACTTCTTTACGTGGTCATATTTTTCTATACTAGTAGTTCTTCTTTGCTCTCTTCAGGTTGCAAGTTGGATGATGAATAGTGAACCTTCTGTAATAAATAGGAACTGGATAAGAACTGATACTGAGCCTCTTGCCATTAAGTGGGCTACTGGGAGTCTTATGTTTGTAACAGAGTCTACTAAGCTGTCATTTTGGATTCCAGATCTGTCTAAATTGGCAGCACATGTTGGAAGGAAGTAGGGCTTTAGTTGCTCCACACTTATAATGCCAAGCAGTATTTGTAAGGTTCATCACTTTTACTGATAGATGATTTGGTGCAAATGTTCCTATCTGTGTTGCTTCAGTCTCATACATCTGTTAAAACATTGAATGGGCAGGGACATTTGTTTAACTGATGCACTGGACAGGTAACCAAGCTCTGTCTATACAAGTTAGTCTTACCAGTCCATGTAATTATTTTTCAAGAGCTAGGTTGTACATGCTCCTGTGCTAGCTTTCCTGCAATCTCTTGCTCGAAAAAATATAACAATGAGAATAGCTTGTAATTTAGGCTCCTCAAATCCCTGTTACGAGTCAATTACTGTTCTTATCTTGAGACATGGAACCTGACTGTGGAGTTATTACAAAGGAAGAGAAATTCATGATGATGGAATTGACAGAGAGATGTACATACATGGCTATGAAAACAAAACATTTATGTAAAAAACACATGGTATCCTTTGGAAAAACTTCAAATAGGGCATTTTCTACCAAAATGGTAAGAAAACAAACTAGGAATGGAGCCCTTTGGAACACTTATTGCAAAAACAGGCTGAAACGCGTGCTAGTCATGACTCAGTTTTACTGGTAAGGGACATTACGTACTTGGAGCCTCAAAAAGCTTTAAGGATCGTCTTCGATCTACAACTAAATCTCTAAAATATCTATCAACCAGGATCAGAAGCATTCTCTATAGTTTCCTTATCTTCAATCTGCTCTCTCTGGCTTCATCTCTCTCAAGTCTAACCTTCAATGCCCCAAAAGACATTGGGGGGTCATCCCTTGCCGTAAAGTGTGAAAATATGTCAAACCAAATTAAGGAAATGCATCCACCCAAAATCTTGCTGATAGGGACCCTTTTTCATCAATTATAAAAAAAGCTGTTCCCGTTCACAACGGGCTTCTAACAGACTCAAGAAAAATTAAACAGTAAGAAATTAACAGATTTGAGAAGTTGAATATCTATTTATGCCCATATCATAACATTTTATTGTTAACATCCAAAATCACATGCCATGGCCCTAAACTGTGTCTCGGGTTCCATTTATATCTCAGGTATATTTGTTTTATTTGAAATGATGGGTGGTGGTGAATGAGAACTGGGCAGCTTCAATATTTGGTTTAATCGAATAATTTGCGGTGTTTTCGATGTCGGTTCAAACTTCAAAATATATACCCCTTCTTTTTTTTTCATCATAACGGCTGGAACATACCACAACTTTTTCTCACTTTTCATCATCTTTTTATGATGCCTTTTCCTTCCCTTCATTTCCTTGGTATCATATATGTACTGTCGTTGGCAAAATTTTTCCAGTTATCTTTATGTAGACTTGACAGAACCGTCAGCCATTTCGGATAAAAAGATAAAAGCAAAACAAACCCTATATGTAACTCAAACTCCTTAGGCTCATCACCTCGTAGGGGTCCCACATTAAATCTCTGTCGTGAAAACCCCTCGCCCACCGGCTATTTGAGGCCCTGGAGAAGTTGTTCAAGTTCTTTTTTTTTTTTTTTTTTTTGGAATTGATTGTTCAAACATCTTCAGTCCTCCTGTCACTTCTGCTTGAAAATGGCTCGATCATTAATACTGTCATCAAGTCAGTGAAGGTGACAGAAAACCATCTCCTTACAATTTGCATAGGAAGGTAATGTTTCTCTGTTGATAAAACTAATGTTTTGGAAAGCTTTAACTTCACTAACAAGATCAGTAAATTTCCAAAACTAAGCATCATAATCCATCTATTCTTTTCTTAATCCTTCCTTATCTTAGCTTATCATAATTATCATGGAATATTCTTGGCAAAAAGACAGGAAAAATAAAGATGTTCACCTGTTAATTAAGTGCTTCGCATGACACATGTCAAGTTTAGGACAACTTTGCACATAAAAAACAAGGGACAAACTGGTAGTTTATACCATATTAAAGCCATAATTACTAGCTAATTGAGAAGACAGTAGACATCATAATAACATGATTAATACTAGGATGAAACATACAAGGGGAAATATTCATCAGATAGAATCCTGTGATCTGCCCGTATAGGAGTTGAGGCTGAGCTCAAGTGAAGCTCGAGAACCAGTGTAGCCATCATCAGACCTGTACCACCCAGAGTAGCAGCTGTCTGGTTCGTGCTTAATATTGCTGCAAAAAGCATTAACGTCTTCACCGTGCATGGGGAAGAGTGGGAGGGTTTCAATATGTGGAGCAACAGCAGCTTCTTCTTCTTCATCTTCATCTGCTAGTTCCTCCTCAAGGATTCCATCAACGAGTTTTTTCTTGTCAAAGAAAGCGTAAGATGAAGAATATGCAGGATCGATGCCAACCCACCCAAAGTTGTGGCTTAAAGATTCGCTTGCACCAGTGCTGCTACCACATGCTGATATTGAGCAATCCTGGTTTTTAAAAAACACAGTAGTTAGAGAGTCAGAAAGGGACTTTTACAAATTACAAGTACGTTCTATCTTGTTCCCCTTTTACTAAGGGTGAGATAACTGTGTTGTCTGGATCTCCCTTCTAAATTAGGCTTGAAAGGGGAAAATGGTTAATCTCCCTTCTAAATTAGGTTTGATAGGGGAAAATGGTTATGCTTCAAGCAAAATTTTCCATCTGTTTGGCCTTTTTACAAGGAGGAAACCAAATGGGTTCTTTCCTTTTATACATGTTGCGAGGGATCATGGAATAACATTATTTAGTAATATGTCTCCATTTTTCCCTTCAAATGTGCTAAATTCCTACGCAAGTTAGTTAATTTCTTGCTGTTTTAACAGTATTTTAAAACTTGTCAGCATTAGAATTTAACTTCGTTAAAAAAAAAAAAGGCTTCAGGTTAGATCTTTCAAGGTACAAAGTTACTGTCTTTCCAACGTTTTTATCGTCACTTACCCTAAAACTCTTCTCCATGGTCATAGACCCATAGCCATAGTTTCCTATCTGGCCAACAGTAAGCACACCAGTTGATGAAGAAGGAGATGAAGAAGTACAACCTGCAAAAAAATCACATAAATCCATTGAAAATAAAGAGTTAAAAACTCCATATCTATCCTCTGAAAAACTAACAGACACCCACAAAAAAAAAAGAAGAAAAAACAAATGAAACGATGATACGAGTAAAGGTTTTAGAAATAGAAAAGGAAGGGAAAAAAGAAAAGATCAGAAACCAACCATGACTTATGTTGGGATACTTGTTATTATGTAAGGAATCATCAGCTTTCCAGCCACCATTTGCAACAGTAGGTCTTTGCATGGGGACATCAGTCGTGGTGAACCTTTTCTTCTGCCTCTCACGAGCCTTGTGGTTCTGAAACCAATAAAAGACATTCTTGCCTTCGATTTTTCCGTACTGTCTAAGCCTAGCAGAGATCCTCTGAATCTGATCTGCACTCGGGGACCTAACTCCATTGTTGTAGTAAAGGTCCTTCAATATTCTAATCTGGTCAGTGGTGGGAGTCCACCGTGTACTACTTTGCCTGCAAAGAAAGCTTCCTTTGCCACTGCCGCAACTATCTTCATTTGGATGTTGTTGGTTTTGCTGTTGTTGGGGTTCCATGATGGACTGAAAACAAGAAGAAAACAAAGAGAAGCAACCAAAGCTACCAAGCTAATAGATAGAGAGAGATAGTGAGAGGAGAGAATTAGAAAGAGAGATAGTAGGTGAAAGTGCATGAACTGAAGAGAGTAAGGACTGCGATATAAAAGGAGAGAGGGGACAGATAGGCACATGGAGAGATGAAGAGAGGATATCAGAGAAATATCTGACAGAGAAGGACTGAAGTTGACAGAGCGTTGTTCATAAAAAGGGAAGGGACAAAAGAGGCATAGAAAGGGAGGATATCAGTGGAATTACTTGGATGGAAAGGCATGACGAGGTATGATATTAAGCAGCCTTGATGAGAGAGAGAGACACAGAAAAGAGAGATGATGAAAATATATGAGGCGTGAAAAGATATATTGGATAGTAAAAGAAAAAAAGAATGAAGAGAGAGGCTTCTGATTGAATGAATGAATGCCATAATATTTGTGTTTTGTGTGCTTTAGAATTCATGGGGGGTTCTTCTTTTAATGGAGATATGGTCCTCTTTTAACCAGGCCCAGAAACCAGACCACAAGATATTCTTGTGCAAAAACTGTCAACGAATTTCAAGAAACAATGCTTTCTTTAGGATTCATCCATCAGAAAAGAATTACACATTAAACAAAAGTACTTCTTGTATTTTTTTTTTTTTCTGTTCCCAGGCAATCTTTTTTCTTTACTGATATCGCAATCTTCTATTAGTGTTTCTGTATTCCTTATAGTGCTTTGATCACCCTATCCCCCAGTTGATATGCTTTTTAAGAATTTCAGGGATTTTGCTTCTCAATGTTGTACTTGGGTAGTTGGGCTGGAGCTCAGGAACTTGAGGGACCGCTCAGTTTCTATATGAATATGCTGTTATGTGGATACCTAGGTCTAGCAAGTACAGTCTCGGAAGTTGAATTTATCATATGACTAGCTTCCATGTGCAGTAAAGAAGCAGCTTTGACAAACGATCGAGTTGTTTCTCAATCCTGAATGAGCAGTTTTTGAACCGAACTAAGCTGTTCATCTTTCTAGTTTCTGCTTTGTTTTCCTAAATTTATGGTCGGTGCAATACATGCACACTTAGAACATTGCTTCACAAAAATTTTGAAAAAAAAAAATCCCATTCCAAGATATAAATCATTCTGCAATAAAAAAATCACAGTAGAATTCACTTGTTACTATACAAGGGGATCGTCTGAAGTTGAAATGGAGATACCATGAAATTTTAACAGAAGAGAACAGAATTGAAAATAATTTGCTGTCAACACCGCTAGTATAGTAAGAATCCTATATATATGCGCATGCGCTATAAAAAATAAATGCAATGGCATTAAACAAGGGGATTGTAGACAACAGTTTCTTGAGATTTTGGGGCATTGGTTAATGGTACAGTTACTTCAGTTCTCCATTTCTGTTTTGAGTATATTCTTATTATGTCTAAATCATTTATAATATGACATTCACATGATGAATGGTTGGTATATAAAAAGTACTACTACTATACCTAACATTTTCACAATAATCTATTTAGTTATTCAAGAAATAGTGTGATTGATCAGCCCCATTTTCACTTTCAAGATCCAACTGCAAACAGATTATATCCTCTCTAATCACTTTTTGTTCCTTTCCAGCCATCTACTGAATTTTTTGTTGTCTCGTGTGTGTGTGTGTGTGTGTGTGTGTGTGTGTGTGTGTGTGTGTGTGTGGTAGAAGCCTGAAAAGGCACCAGAAATGGAAGCAACGAAACGAAATGTTGTTGGAATTAGTGTTTCTTGTTCCTTACACCGGAACATTTGATACAAAGTCTGATAATTATAGCCTAAAAGAAAAACTTGATCCTTTTTTAACTTTATTATAGATGGGGGAAATATAATCTTTTTTCAAGGATTTGCTTACTGTGGGAAATATTTAATCTCCTTGAATTCAACCTGTAACAGTCTTATGCGCTTTTTCTACTATTCTGACTGCTGCTGCAGCCTCTATCTCACTCCCTTTCTTTCTTTCTTTCTTTCAACCTTTTCAGATTGTGTTATTTGTTTGATTTTGACATTACCATCATGAGATTTCCTCTCCTTATCATGCATTTTTTTTGGATTGGTTCTATTCCGAAACACACACCATCTCTCCATGTGGGTTGTTGGCATATTGTTTCTTGGCTAAATAGTAAATACTAGTTGAGTCTTTTCCTTTGTTTTGATCAACTTTTTAGCCTTTGATTTGGCAGTGAAAACCCATGACCCTTTTTTTTTTTTAAATTTTCTATACTTTCTCTTATGCAAAAAATCCCTGACTGAGCTGCTTACCTCATAAGAAGTGGCCTAGTAGTGTGCAGCCGGCTGTGGTACACTTCCTTTTCTTTCGGGTAATCATCCCTCTTGCTGTTATTTTCTCCCCCATATCTCTAAAGATACATCACAATATCATTCCATATCTCCAATCTCTCATCAGTCTCTCACTTCTTCTAGCCTCTGCCTAGCAGTCCTATTTCATTTTTGCTTTCTGTCTTATTAATTCTAAGAAAGTGACTGACTGGCAACCATAGAGCAAGACAAACCCTAGCCACAAGCTTTTTGCCTTTTCTTTTTTTTAATCATTTTTTTTTACTACTATATATTCTTCTGAATGATGTAGTACGTAAATGCATTTCAAGCTTAAACAAAACTTACCAAGAATGGATGATAGACACTGAAGTTGGATAAGAGACAGTGTCTTAATATATGCATATGCTAGTTGCTGTATCTAGTTCTAGGAGTGTTCTAGGGTGGACCCAAATTTGATGCAATTAGGGTTTTGCCTATAAGAATAATATTGGGTTTGGACCACAAATTTATTACATCTCGTCTTACTAGTTGTGTTTTGACCGAATCTCTACCACTACCAGGGCAAAGCTTGTCTTCAAGTTTGAACTTTGGTCTAGGTAAAATGTTTTTGGAATTGTCTGCTTTGCTGTCCCTAGACTCAGTAGCTCCTATCATTAGCAGAGTACATTATATATATATATATATAGATCAACATGTGGATGTGAGGGATCAGTTCTCAAGTTGCTTTAAATTGGTTCATAAATCTTATCTTTTGCAGTTTCTAGGGTCAAATGTATTCTATTTCGCCATTCTTCTTTTTGATGTATGTAGACTACTTTGGTTCACTCGGTTAGGCAACAATCTGCTGCAGAATTTTTTCTTGGACAAATTATTTGTTGGAGCTCCACGTTTCACGTTTCACGTTTCACGTTTCACCTGGCTTAGGTTGTGATAGGAACAAGACTATGTAAAAAAAAATTTTATTTAAATTACTGGAACTAAAATTCTGGGGGTGTAAAAGCTTTGTTTCCCAATGATTTAAAGGTTGGAAACTGTCTCGATGTGCGAAGCCATCTCTGTTCATACCTCATCATGAGCCGAAAACTAGAAGGAAAAAGTAATTGAAATTTGAGTGCTAAACAATGATGAGCATATTTAATCTCAAATCATTGAAGTGATATCATATTTAACAAATGCTAAGAAACTAATTTAAGTACTAAATCGTTTTATACAATTTACAAACCTCATGGAACAAACATCACTCTCAATGGGAAAAAGCAAAAAAAAAAAAAAAAGTAAAGAATCTCATGTTCCTTATAGTTCAAAGTACAACCAATTCAATTAACTTCATATATAGCAACAATGCAATCCATCAAAATTAAGCAACTTCGCTCGAGTTAAGCTAAATCATAGGTCCAAACCAGGAAAACCATAGGTCCACAATAGACATTCAGCAACTCATCAGCTGCCCTGATTAACTGGGATCCTTCTCTTATTTGCAGGGTCTCTTCGAGTCCGGGTTGAGGATCGAGGTTCCCATCGCTCATTACTCTCTGTTAACCCCCAGGCTTCCTTTTTACCCTCTCTTCTAAATGGTTGCCTTTTTACATGGCGATCAGTTTTAGGTGAATTTAATCTCTTTGGTTTCTCTGCATCATAAGACAATGGTTCAATCTCCTGCAAGTCGGGTTCTGGAGCATATCCTATTGGCCGTTTCAATTCATCCATTTTCCTAAATGTGATTGATATCCTGAGAAGAGAAGCAATAGCGCAGAAAGTTAAAAGTACAGAAATTAATGAACAAGTTATAAGACCAGATATTAATGTGCGAGCTTCTAAACAAACAATAAAAACATCATAAATTTCAACTTATACCTCTTTGTAGGAACTGAAGGCACACAATGCTTAGCAACGTCTGCTCCATTTCCATTCAAAACCAGAACTGATCTGATAGGAGAAATAACTGATTTTAAGTTTTTAACTCAATAGATCTAAACTGATAATGATTCCATGACTTGATATAGATAGATAGGACTAGTTAGTGCATGAAAAGAATCTTACCCCACAGGTAGGGGAATTGCAATTGAACCGGAAAACTCACCAGCCCCCACAACCTTCAAGTTTGACCCAAAAACTATATTGCACTCACTCAGAAACGACACAGTACAGAATGGTCTAACAAAATCATGGTTGTCAATGTGAGGAGGTATACAATCACCATCTTCATAAATATTAACAATACAACTATCAGGCACACAGGTTGGAGGAAGCACATGCCATCTGACCAGCCTTCTAATGATCACCTTGAAGAGATGGGGTATAGGATCTACAACTTCATTTTGAAGAATGCCAGGTGGATTACCATTTTTATCCTGCCACCAGAAGGTAAACGTAATAAAGCTTTTCAACCTCGAGTTACTGCTTCTTGTTACTACAGTGTCCCCGGACACTTACTCAACTAATCTTCAAAGTCAAACAAGGATAAGGAGAAACCTACCGTTGCATAATTGTAACAGCAACCAAATTGCAGAGTTACTCGTCCTTTTCCTCTCATCCACTTCTGTGGTGCTGTAAATGTGCGTTCTGTATAATATATTCCAAAATGAATATAAATGATATCCTTGAATACAATTACTTAAACGTGATGCATGATGTAAATATAACTTGTTGAGAAACTGTTAATCTACAAAGGCACAAAGACATGTCTGCATGTTGCACACAAGGATGAATGATAAAGGAAAGCTACAAAACTTGTTTCCAAAGACACAAACCATATTACTCCAATGCACCATTGATTTACTAAAGCTCATTGCTCATGCTGACCTAATGTTCACTCAGAGGATAAGAGAATCCTACTGACTCTGTTTGCTAAATACATTTTGATAGGAACCCATTAAAGACACTCATGCTAGAAGACTCCTTTATAGAGGGGATTTAAAATAATCATGATCTATGGATTTGAAACTTGCCCCTGGATAATCCACTGAACCACCAAGTGCTTCCCTTAAGATCTAAAAACATTTTAGAGGCAGACTTAAACATCAAAGTCTATGCAATATATGAATGCCATTAAAGGCAGAAAGTGAGGTAGCAAAAAAAAAAAAAACCATAGTAGAAAAATGGGAGTATAGCACAAATAATCCATTATCAGGAATGGGGTTGACTGTTTAGTCAGCCACTCAGCTGCTTCTTGGCTTGACATACAAGAGAAAACTAAGAAGCCCAACAAGCAATGATTCGTAGAGAGAACTGAAGGTCATTAAATGAAGCCTATTTTTGTGATCTAAGTTTTTAACTAAAAGCTTAATATCCAGCATTGCATGATAGACAACAAAGCACCAAAGAACATACCAAGTAGGTTTAATGGTTCGGAGGCTCTGTTCAGTTAATTCTACTGACAGTACATTAAACCAAAGAATGTTGCATACCCCATATACATGTGCTCCGTAAATGCTGTTATGTTAATTTATTGATGCCAACACATAACATGATAAATGCTACTTTCCATCACGTTTTATTGAGTTAAGCTCCATTTATATTAAATAAAATTGGGTGGATGTACCTATGACAAGCTCATTAAACCTCAAAAAAAGAACCCTAGCCAGAGAAACTACTCAAGAACATAAACTCATATATCCACAAATCAAAGAATATATTGCCTAAGCCTCAACAGTTCAACTGTACAAACAAGATTAGCAACCTGTAAATACTAACCTTTAAGGTCTCCTTTTCTCCCCATCTCCTCAAGCATATAAATATGGTCAACTATCCTCTTCTGTTCTGCAGCACTGAAAATTCCCATATGAAGTTCAAGCCCCTCAAGAATATTGACAATCTTCCCTTTAACTCTCTCCAAACATATAAAATCTTTCTTCCTCTTCACATTCATAAACCTAATGCACTCTCTCTGATCCCTAGACAATTTAGTCTTCTCAACAACCTTAGATATCCTCAACTCCTCGGTGGAAGCAGTTAAATTAACTATTCGCTTGCTTGACTCTGACTGCTGTTGCTCTTCTTCTTCTACTTCCTCAAGCTCATCTTCCTGCGCCATGTCTGCCCATGACAGACGGGGAACCAGGGTTTGAACCAAAGGTGATCCACTGGCAGCTCCACAACTAGTGGGTGCTTCTCCAACGGGTTCAGACAACCCATTTGCCTCATCTTTCCAACTACCGAATGAGTTTGTATCTTCTCCATCTTTTGAACTTCTGATCGAATTTGCATCACAATTATCATGACAATTCTCATTTAATTCTTGTGATTCTGCATTATTGGGAGTAGAAGGAACTGCATTCAGATCTGAATTGGCCAGGTGAGCATCTCCTTCATGTTCTAGAATCCCAATATGCCATACAACACAAAATCTTCTTATCAGCAAACACAAACCCTAAATTTCTTTCATTTTTCTTTTTTTTTTTTTTTATAATAAAAACCCTAATTGCAGTATCCATGGCAAAGTAAAATAAAATTCAATGAATTGTTATTTCTAATCCCAATTATAAAGGACAATTAGCCAAATAACATCTTTTTCCAAACCAAAACAAAATCTAACCAAAGCCGACTTTTCTTCGGCCTAACATAAATAAATGTATAACAAAAAAAGGGCAAATTCGATTAGCAAATTTTAGAAGGTAAAACCCTTACTTCAAACTTAATTAAAAGCAGAAGCAACCAGAGGAGCAACGTTTAACATTAAAACGCTAAAAAGGAGGGTACCTGTGCCGAGAGAGCGGATACGTTGAGTGAGGGCTTGGGTGCAGCGGTGGCAGAGATCTCTTGAAAGGAAAGGAAGCCACGTGGTTAAGAACTCGGAGGCGATTCTGCGTTCGGATGGCTGGTACTGCACGAGAAACAGGTCGTCCTTCTTGAGTCGCTCGAGATCGTTCATTGGGGTTGTCTGAGTCTTGACTCGGGGAAGAGATAGTGAGAGATTCGGGTTACGTGTGATCAAATGCTGCGGGAAAAAGAAACGAACAAAACCCAATATCTTTGTTATTCGTGACCTTCCTTGGGTTTTACAGTTAACAGCAACGATTTTCGTGAACATGAAGGTTAATTCTTTAGGGTTTTTATGTAATTTCCGTTTGCTGGATGATGGGTTTGGAGTGTTAATTCTACCCAATTGTTTAGATTGTTGTCGTTTTGTGCCCATAAGTCCCAACAAAACGGGTCAGTTGGATTCGTTTGCTTTTCGGCCCAAGACCAGTTAAATTTTTTTAGTAGTATTTATGCAAAAAAATACAGTTAAATTAGATTTAATGATTCGTATATAAAATATTAAATTTTATATATTTATATTATATTTTATATAAAAATTACATATCATCATTTATGTCTACATAAAAATATGACATTTATTTTTTTAATTTTATTAAATTTATATATAATCATTACTAAAAATTTAAGTTGTATTATTTTTGTACTTTATTTTTATATTATATTTATATCATTTTATCGTAATTATCATGTTTAAATTAAATCTTAAAATAAGGGATAAAAAGAGTGTTTTATTTTTAATTTTTTTAATTAAGCTCTAAGGGATATAAATATTTTATGTAGACATAATATTTATAATAGTAAATTTAGCCTTTTTTTTCTTTTTCTTTTTCGATTTACTATCTAATTTAATATTTATCCATTAATTGAGTAGACCATCAAGCTCAAGGTCAGTTTTGAGTAATATTTGTCAATCTTGAGTCTTCAAATTTAACATATGAAAATATTTTATATTTATTTAATTTTAATATTAAAACATTTAAATTAAAAGTATTTTCAACAGTTTGATTCTTCTTCACCATAGATAATATGATGCAATGTTACCTCTATATTTTTATCTACTGGTCTCTTACATGCGCAACAAGTGTTCACTTTAGGACACAAAAAAAATTTATAAATTTGTTAATAATAATTTTGAATTTTTATAGACAAAAGATAAGCCCAAACACTTTTTATGAGGTGTATCATTTTCAAGATAAGGACGAAATTATTTCATTTGTCTTTATTAGAATAAAGTTTGCATTCATAAGTAAATATGGTGGGAGATAAGGGGATAAATATAATTAGCTGATTAAAAAAAAAAAGGCATCCAAACTATCATATAACTATGGAAATAAAAGAAAAGCATATGCTCCTGACGACAGGTATGCACGCATGTTAACGTGAATATATTTTATCAATCATTATAACTTTTAAATTTATTCTCAAATTCTGTATTTAAATAAAATTATTATAACTTACATAATTTTATCTCTAGGATTTTATCAGTGTGAACTATTTATTTTAAGACACAAAAAAAATTTAATAATTTTTTAATAATATTTTAAAGTTTTTGTAGATAAAGAATAGAAGTGATAGACATGTTTGCCTCTTTGGATAAAAACAAAATTACATTCATTTGTCTTTTTAAAATGGTAAGCCAACCATTCGTAGCCTTACGTCTCCCTCTTTCATTCCTAATTAAGTTATTGATTGTGAGAGTTTTTTTTTTTTTTTTAAGGCATCTTAATAAGAGCACCAAGAAGAAACTTCTGACTAAAAAAATTGATGTGAATTTGTTGATTTTCTTACAAAATAATGATGTTTCACGATTAAATTATCTTGAAAAATAAAAAAATTTACAACCATTCTTTTATTTTTGTTTCATTTTGCTAATAGAATCATTACACATCGAACTTAATTTTTGGGAAAAATAAACCTTTCAAAATACTTTTTGATAATGATTTCTATGATTTGTAGGAGATATTGACCAAGCTATGCCCATTTTCAGGTATGTACCTAACACTTCTTTTTGCTTATTTGATGATTAATGATTTTTTAAATATATAATGAGTTTGTATGCGGTATCAAAATGAAAGGTTTGCTCTATTTGTTGGGAATATTGATTCAAATCTCATAAGAGATTTGTTTGAGATTTGTTAGAGATTTGTTTGAGATTTATCAGATATTACTTGATGAACAAGAAAACTTGTAAAAGAAAAATTCTAAGAGAAAGATGATTCTTAATAAGTAAGTTTGACTTGCAAGAAAAGAATTCTAAAAGGAAAGGGATTCTTAATAGTAAGTTTGACTTACAGGAGAAGAATTCTAAGAGGAGAGTGGATTCTTAATGGGCAAGTTTGTATGGTTATAAATAGGTGAAATCTCTACAGGGTTAGGTATGAGAAAAAAGATGTAAGAGAGTTGTAGGGTTTTGTGGGATAGACATCTCATAAGAGTATTGGGGCTCTACGTCTTATGAGTGTGTATGTTTATTTGTGAGTGGACTAGAAGAAATTGAGAGGGTCCACATAAGTATGATGTATGGGAACATATGGGTATGTGTTTGGTTGTGTTGAAAAGGTGCACAAGAGTTTGAGTTTGTGTTTGTTTGGGTTGAGAATACTCCATAGGACTAAAGGAGATTAAAAGTGTCTTATGAATATTGATTGTTGAGTGAGGTTGATGATTTGATGTAAGTTTGTAATTCTCTACAACTAGTGGATCTTTTTTTCTCATCCGTGGATGTAGGTCAATTGGACTGAACCACGTTAAATTGTTATCTCTTGCTCTTATGTGTTTAATTTATTGTTTGATTTCGCTTCTGTTGGTGTGATTGAATTGGAGGCTTTTAGCCCAACACTATTTGCTATATCATTTTTTCATTATAATGTGCAATAGCAATAGTTACTTAATGTTTTGTATATTTGTAAGTAGTTGTTATGGTTAACAATAAAGCAAAAACATAAAAATAAAAAAAAACTCTGACTTAAGTTGAACTCTTTCTTCAATTATCTGAGAACTTTTATTATAGATTTTTTTTTCATTTTTGCGATAATTTTTAGTTTAAATCATTTTAATTTCTAGGTTTATCTTAAAATTTAAAGTAAAATTGATAGCAACTCAAAATTCTATCAAACATTAATTTGTCCACATTGCATTAATAAAATGCATTTTGAGCATGTTGATTTTTTTAAAAACAAAAGTGTTAAAGAAAAATCTAATAATAATAATAAGAAACTGATAAAAAAAAAAAAAAAAAAAAGATGTTCATATTAATTCTTTTTTTTTTTTTTTGCTTATTATGGTTGGTTTAGTGCTTTTTTTTTTTTTATACTTTCATTAAATTCATGCTTTTTGAATATGTTGAGTTTACTATTGATCTTTATAGAATGGCGCATTCCTTTAAAAACACGTTGATCAATTTAGTTTATACGCTAGATACCTTTTATATAATAGTTTCATGTTTGCTTTTCCTTAAAAACCAAGAAATTCTGTTATTACATCTCTGGACCTCATCATGGAGGATTCAATTGCATTTTCATAATTTTTTCTATTTAGTGTTTTCTTATAGAATCATTTGCATTCCCCTTATTTTGTATTTACAAATTTAAATTGTACAGAGACAAAAGATAAAGTTAAAAAGTATGGATATAAGAAAATCATTTCAGATTTTAAAAGTTGAATGATGAAAATCAAAAATAAAAATAAAAAGGATAAACAAACTTTTTAAAATTACGATAGCATGTGCTTAAAATATTTACAGATTTCGACGGATTACAATGAGATTCTAATTTATATGATAGGTCTTTTAAAAAACAATGAAAGAAATCATGCTGAGACTTTTGCCATCTAAAAAGCTACTTGAGATCTTCAAAGGGGTGTCGATCTTTTGATGCGATTTTACAAGGGGTGTCGACGATGAAATAAGTAGACTTAGCCTTGAGATTAGAAAGCTTGAGTTTAAAAGAAGTGAACTCGTTAGTAGATTTTTTTAGCTAATTTAGATGTTTGGGTTAAAAAGGTTTTATTTTATTTTTTTGGTTGAATTTGTTTTTAATAAATTATATTTTTCTAAAGCTTTGTCCTCATATTGCAGGTTTTGATTTAGTTTGAAGGGTAAGATTATTTTATAAATAAAAATTGTATTTTGGGTAAAAAAATTTTTTATATGAATTTTTTAATTAAAATTTATAGTTTTTGTTTTTAGTTATTTATTAAAATTATTAGTGTTTTTAAATTTTGAACTTAACTCTCTATATTTAATATTTTAATATTGCATTATGTAAATTCTTTTATATTTGATAATTATATTTTTAATATTGGTTTATATTGATGTATGTTATAATTTTTTTTATTAATTCCGTGGTGATACGCAGATTAATTTTCTAGTAAGATTTCATTTTTTGATACTGGCCCAATCTGACTTATCTCCCATTTTGCTCGAAGAAAACACGTGGCATCATCAGAGTGGTCCTTTTCTTGTTTATCATCCATCTGCTGAGTTGGATTTTTGTCCTACAAAATGACAGACAGAGAAGATCTTCCCTTTTAATTTTGAAGCAAACGAAACGAAAGCCGCCTTGTCTTCGTGGCTCCACTTGCCACGTTGTCCTCTTCTCCACGAAAGTATCACTTCGGTCACATCCTGGCCCTCCATTGAGACTGGAACCTCAGGGATCCAATGGTCTATCTGACTCAGCCGCATTCATGCATAAAAATTATCAGTTATTTCTCCAGGCAGTGTAAGTGGAAGAAGAATAGAAGATACTTAAACTTCGTCTTCAAGTTCAACCTGATTGCTACATTAGATTCCTCTTGCATTGTTCAGTCGTGTCTATCATCACCCTGAATGCCCTATTTTGTTTCCTTTTTGGGGCTTTGGATTGACTTACCAATGTGGGATCACTTTCTCAGTGGCGAATTAATATTCGTTTCCATGTCTTTTTGTTGGATGATTAATATAGCTTTGCCTGAAGCAGAAGGAATTTCAGAGACTAAATGGGAGAGAAAGAGGCCGAGGCTTCGAAATCCAGGGGCTTCTTTTGGTGGTTGCTAGTTTTGGTAATTGGAGCTCTTGTAGTAACAACAGCTGTACTCACAATTTTAAGGGACTTTCATTACTTCAAGAAAAACCGAATTCCAAGCCACCCCATCAACAAGAAATATGCTGATGCTCTTGAAATTGCTCTTCAATTCTTCGACATTCAAAAATGTATTGTTGCTGTATTTTTCCCTCTGTTGGGTACTTCTGTTTTTTTTTGTTTTTGATTTGACATCTGGGAAGTTGGTGGATAACATTAGGGGATTCAGGGCTCCAAGATGGGAGTGAGGGAATTTGGATTTGTCAAAAGGAATGTACATGCTATGAAAATTGGCTTTCCAATGGCATTCACTGCCACAGTGTTGTCATGGGCTATTCTCGAGTATGGTGATCAGATGAATGCTGTAAAGCAACTGAGGTATGCTCAGAACTCGTTTAGGTGGGTCACAGATTACTTTATCAATGCACACCCTTCTGAAAATGTGCTTTTATATCCAGGTAGTGTATTTCTCTTAGTTTTCACTCTGAATTTATGGTTCTTCTAAATGGATTCGTTATTAATAGGATGCACCATATCTGCAATTTCATATACCACACAAAAATGATATGAAAAAAAATCATATATGTATTTTAAAAAAATATATTTCATATTTATTCATATTAATATGAATTTTGTTATGACACAATTCGTAATTTATAAATGTTGAAATGTCTAAGTATGTGATATAATACGAACAATACGTTCAATTTAATTTGGTCATATAACTACATGTTTAACATATTTAATATATTTAACACATTTTTTATATTTATTTTAATTTAATATAAACAAATAAAAATTATTTTAATTTTTGATCTTTCAATTATGATACTTAATTAACTATTTAATATCATATAAAAATTATTTTAAATATTTAATTATAATACTCATTTAGTAATTATTATAAAATTATTTTTTATATTGCTAATATAAATACAATATAAATATTAATATTAGCCCTATACATTATTATTTTATTATTTAATCTTTAATAATTTATTATTTTGAATTTGATATTAAAAATTAATATGGTTATGTAATATATATTAAATACAAATTAAATGGGTATTAAATTTTTTAATTTTTTAATATGTAAGTATTTTTTTTATATTATTAAATTACTAAATTTATTAAGTTATAAATAATAGATAGTTTATAGTTATTTATTATTTTAACCGTATTATTATATATATTCGTATTAATCGTGTCTATTCGTATATATCCGTATTAATCGTATATATTTATATTATTTATGTTTATTCGTATCATGTTTAAATGAATTAATTATATGTGTTAATTATATCGTATCACGTATAATATGTATAATAAACGTATCATATTTATATTTACGATTTTAATATATTTTATAATTTATCGTATTTATATTTTAATAATTTATATTCTTACATGCATCACGATGTGAGACGCAATACAAAAATATATATTGCAAGACATGTAAACAATTTGACATCGAAATTATCATATTTCGTGTATCTTTTCTTATTTGCGATAGAAGGTGAGAGATTCGAAACTGAACCACAAATGTTGGGAAAGATCTGAAACCATGTCAGAGATAAGGCTTCTAATACAGGTTAACTTGTGTGAGGGAGGGCTTCCTTGTTTATACTTGAGTCTCCCCAGCACATGTAGCCCTTATTCATCTAAATGTGTGACCATCACAAGCCCTCTAGACCATTCCATGGTCTCTGGACACTTCTTAGGTCGGCGCCTTTGTAGAATCCAGTTGGTTTTAGGTTTCCTGATGAGCTTCGAATATGGAAAAGTCAGGCACTCTTGCTGAGTGTTCACGCCTGGCGAGTTTCAAAATCTTTCTCGTCTAGTCGCTGCTTCGCATGCAACTAGGGTTTTCCAGAGCTTTCCTTATTTGGGTGTTACAATACCTTTCACTGTTCTCGCGCCTAACCCTTTTGGAATCTTTGGTGCCACGCAACTAACCTATTTTCAGGCTTTTCTAGACTTTTTTGTGTCATCTTGCCTATCTCAAGATTTCTCTAAACCTTTCTGTGTCCACACGCCTTCCCTGTCTTCAGGCTGATTTAGGGCCTTTTGTGCCTAACTGCTTGCATCATTCTTTTGGAGTGTTCTAGATCCTTTCAACGAATAGTCCTCATGCCCAGCATTAGGTTATTTAGCTCGCCGTGCTCTCGCACCTTAACCTAGGCCCAAATCCGCGCACTTGGACTTCATATATGCCTTTAAGACCTTAGTCTCGATCTTTCCCGATCCTTTGCCCGCATCAACTCGAACAAACTACGTCTTTCAACCCACTTGGCGTAGGATTTGCGCAAGGACCGTGAAAATAGCAGGTCCTTCTGTCCAAGGTAAACTTCTTTGGTACGAAAGACACGTCAACTGCCGAGAACCTATATCTCCAGATGTGCAGGAAAACAGCTGAGGCGGTCATGTGTAGTCTTCTACCAGATTCACCAACAGCCACATCAAGAAGAACAGATGGTAACTTTCCAATATAATTTTGATGAATCTCCTGTTAATTTGAACCATCAAGCCTCGAGGCACTTGCTCTGGGCAGTTAATAGACTGGGAAGGTGCATTGTTCGAGTCCAGTTTTGTTTATATTACTGCTTTTTACAATCTTTCCTAGATAGCCAAATCCATTTAGGTGTTCATCACTAGCGTTCTTGAAAAAAGAAAAACAAATGATTGAGCTTTGTTATTTTCAGTTTCAACTCCCCTGTTTTAAGATATTGTTAAGATATTATCTATAATCTGTCTGTTACGTCAAGGCTCAAATATTTCTTCACAGAAAGTAAAAAATATACTATGTTCAATTTGGTAAATAATAGTTTGATCCCCTGAAAAAGATACATGACCAAGCACAGGCTTAAACCATAAGCAAGAGCCTTTTAGCACTGTTACCAAAATTTCTGGTAGGTTTACAGGTGGTAGTATGTCAATCAGGTTGCTTGAGAATTAGATCTGCCATACAATTCTGGTCACCATTCATCATCTAAGTTTTTATGTCTCCCTTGTCCCTCCATTTCTTAGGGGTCTGTTTTTGGCTCTCCCCTGGGACCTTCACCTAAAGTTGAAAATGCACTAACTTGGTAATACAATAACTACTAGTACTAATTTGTACATTGTTTTAAAGCTAATAGTATGTTCACTGCAGCCTTTCTTTATAGTTGGAAATATCCTTTCATTGCAGGTGGCCTGATATGGATCACAGAATGGAACTCACTTCAGCATCCTGTGGCTTCTGCATTTCTTGCTATACTTAATGGTGATTACATGCTCACGTCGCAAGCTGAAACTTTATATTGCAATGGGAATTTCTACAAGCCAGATGATCTTCGCAAGTTTGCTATTTCTCAGGTAGTCTTAAACTGGCGGCAAAGGTAGCCATAAATTTCCCGTATGCTATATAAAGTTTCTTTTGAATCAGTAGTTATCATTAACCTCTATATCAACGGAATGATGTTACAGAAAATAGGAGAGACTAAAAGCAAATATCAATTCCTCTATTAGTTACAGGTTATACTATCAAACAAGAATGCAACTAAAGTTGAACATTGTGCTGCAAGATGAAGTAGAAGTCAGTCACTGCCCTATCAAAGGGCTTCTGAAACTAAAATAAACCTCCAGGCATTTCTAAAGGAACATATGCAACTTAGGATTTAACCTATGCATCTCTGTGCAGCTCCTGACCAGTTATGGAATATGTTTTTTCAGGCAGATTATGTGTTGGGGGCAAATCCCATGAAGATAATCTATCTTGTTGGTTATGGAAGTAGCTACCCCAAATATGTGCACCATAGGAGATCTTCAATTACAGTGGATGCTGATACTGGCTGCAAAGACGGATTCAAGTGGCTTTATTCAGACAATCCCAATCCAAATATAGCTGTTGGAGCACTTGTTGTCGGCCCTTCCCTGAATGAGTCCTATTCTGATACTCGGAGCAATATGATACAGGGTGAACCAAGCACATATAACAGTGCCCTTATTGTTGGCCTTCTCTCTGGCCCGCTCGCCACTGCATCTGTGCCTTACGTAGAAACAACTCCCAACACCTGTAAATAGTTTTGTGCTTGAAAAAATTTGTCAAATTTTGATTCCAAGAGCACCTTTTTGTTCTTTATTTAAAAGAAAGAAAGAAAATTTGATCTTGTCAAATTTTGTCAACAAATAAAAAAAAAATGTAGTTACTTTTTTTTTTAATTACAATAAAATTTTAGAATATTGTTTGTGTTGTGGGCATTATTTTTAGTTCAAAAAACAATTTTATATTAAAAAAAAAAAAAAACAAGGGAGAAGTGATAACGCAAAACATAATATTGATAATTTAAAATATAATATAATAATATAATAAAAATATAAAAAATAAATAATATAATTTTAAAATTTAATAATAATTATATATAAATTTAATAAAATTAAAAAATATATTTTATATTTAGTGTAAAATATAATATAAATATATAAACTTTCATATTTTACAAGCTAAAAGTACAATTCTATCTTAGCTGCCAAACATCTCCTTAATTAAAGGAAAGAAAAATCTCTTCTTTTACAGAACCACGTGTTGGAACGAAGACGAACAACAAGAACAGAAGTTCTCCCCTAGTGCCCTCGAATTATCTTCTGCAGTCAATTACACCCTATTTCTTTCCTTCTCCTCCAATCACAAGGTTCTCTGTTTCTCTGCATCTTCTCTCTCAAGCTCTCTCCAATCCAAAAGGGGGAAACCTTTTGGTTTGTCTTTCATTGCCTTCCAATTTTGTTTTTTCTTCTTTTTAGACAAGATTTTGTTTTTTCCTTTCAAGTTTGAATTTTTTTTTCTGATCGGAATTTTTGTTTGTTGTCGTTTCTGTTAATGGGTTAGGGTTCGAATTTTAACTTAAAAGGTTTTGTGTGTGTGTGTGTGTGTGTGATCAGCAAAAGGGTAATTGGAATAGGGTTCTGTTTGGCAGTTTTCTGCCTTATTTTCATGCCATTGTGGTTTACTAAGGCTTTGTTGGTTCAGATCGTGGAATTGGTTTTTTTTTTTTTTTTGTCTGCTTTGATTATGGTAAATATTTTGGTGAATTTATTACTTTCAAGGGAAAAAGTTTAAAAGAAATGGTTTTTAAAGAATATTAAGTAATTCTGCAAAATTCAATATTGTGTGAGATAATATTTTCTTAACCTCAGACATTTCCTGGAGGAAATTTATGTGTTTGGGAGCACAAAGAAACTTAATTAAGTAAACTTGAAGATATGGGCAGGAATTAGGAAATGTTTTTGATGTTACAGGAATTATGAATTGTTATGCCATTAAACATTCATGTTCTCATACCTAGTTTTCATAACTTAGGAAAGGGCATGGAAGCTGAGGATGATCTGGACTTGTCAACTCTGCAGTCTCAACTAAGTGTAAGTGAAACTCAAGAATTGTGGAAGCAGGAAATGGAAAAAGGTCAAAGCCAAGTAGATGTGTTACAAGCTAAAACTATGGAGGTAAAGGCTTGCATTCAGGGGTCAGAGGAGGAATCAAAAAAGGAGTTAGATGTTCTACGGCGAATGGTGAAAGCTACTGCAACTTTATTGACTTACTTGAGATCAAAAGCAAGAGTCATGGCTGTTCCTGATTTAGCCCATAAATCATGTGGCATCAGACTATTAGAAGGCGTGGGGCTTGTGGATAAAGAAGGTACACCCTTGTCTGGGTGGTCCAGAAGCGTTGATCTCTCTTCATTTGATTCTCTGGATGACAAAACATGGATTGGAATTAATAGACAGCAAGGTTCTTTGGATGAACAAGATGGAGCCTATATTGGTGAATTAATTAAGTCTGTGCAAATGGTCACAGATGTAATGGAAATTCTTGTTAAGAGGGTAATCATGGCAGAATCTGAAACTGCTCTTGAGAAAGAAAAGGTAACTTTAGGTCAGGAAGAAATTAAAAAGAAGGCAGTCCAAATCGAGAACATGTCTATAAAGTTAGAAGAGATGGAAAAGTTTGCTCTGGGTACTAATAGTGTTCTCAATGAAATGAGGCAGAGGGTTGAAGACTTGGTTGAAGAAACTTTTAGACAGAGGCAACGAGCTGCTGAAAATGAACAGGAGCTTTCTCGTGTGAAGCAGGATTTTGAATCCATGAAATCTTATGTTAGCAGTCTCATTAGTGTAAGAGAAACTCTTCTTTCATCAGAGAAGCAATTTCAAACCATTGAGCGGCTCTTTGAACGGTCAGTATAATCTTTGAGTTCTTGGATTTCCTTGACTACACTTGTTCTTGATTCTTAAATGTTTGTTCCATTCACAGCATGCCCAGCTATTAATATGAACTTTTTTTCTTTTTGATGTGTCCACATCAGACCATAGAAATTGTATTATTACTTCCCTTGTTGCTAATTTATAAATTACTATAGTTGTTGGCAATTTATGACATGGATCTTTCATTGCACTCATTGCTTTTCAACCACCCATAAGGTGCTTCCTTGTAGCTAAGTTTCCTATTGCTTTTCAACCATCAATAAGGTGCTTCCTTGTAGCTAAGTTTCCTATGCTTACTCTGCTTTTGTTCTACTGAGAAATTCAATTTGAGGAGTCCTATTGTTTTGGCTAGCGTTGCAATTTGAGGGTTTATGTCAGTATAGGCATGAACTTGATTTATAATTGCATGATAACAGCATCTATTTTTATACGTGCAAAACTGCATTTTGTATCTGAGTGGTGGGTGAGTGGGTACGTGGATGTGGTGGGAAGTGGTGGTATTCAATACTACTTTTGCGTATCTTTCTTGTGCACAAGCTTCTTTTAGTTGTTAATCTTGTTCATGAGTCTATCTTTATTCTGCTCTGGACCAGGCTAGTCGCCAAGACGACACAGCTAGAGGGTGAGAAAAAGCAGAAAGAGGTTGAAGTTCAGAAGCTTATGGAAGATAATGTGAGGTTGACTGCGCTTCTTGACAAGAAAGAAGCTCAGCTTTTGGCAATGAATGAACAATGCAAAGTAATGGCCTTAAGTGCTTCAAACATATGATCTGATCTGACCTGATCTTATTTGCTATCTCGTTCTATTGCCTGTCCGACTGTGGTGCTTGGTTGCTTAGTTCCAGCAGACTTGTGACCAGCCAGAGAACTGCAAGGTGGGACAAGTAATACTGCATAGGCAAATTTGTGATGGATGCTATTCAAGAAAGTGTAACTCCATGAAGAGAGCAGGGAGCTTGAATTAATGCAATTGTTGTGCTTTCAAAAATTGAACCATAAAGCGTGGATTCATATTCTTGTGCTATTGGAACATGGATTTGGTGTATTAATTGAAGAAGTTTCAAAATGTCCATCTTTTCTGTACTGATCTTTTTCATTTCAACTTAAACTTATAGCTCTGTTCTGATACAAAAAGTCAATTAAAATTTGTTTTACTTAGGCTGGAACTGGATGACAACTGCTTTCTGTGCTTTTTAGGATAGTTATTCTTTGTTTCTAAGCTCAGGTTGGATTGTATGCTATCCCATTCTTAACAATTTAAAAAAAAAAAAAAAAAAAAAAAAAAAAAACTAGACCTGTTCGAATCCAACCTTTTTTTTTTTTTTTGAAACTAGAATTTGTCTGAACTTGTCGGTTGTAATCTCTAGTATTAAAATTGTTCATCCGTTTTATTTTCCTCAAATGCAAAACATAGTACTTAGTAGTATCATTATCCTATAAATAATTTGTCAAATATTCTCATAATCCCCTATTTTTAATCCTTAACCAAGACAAGTGGACAATATTTTTATAAGTGAACAGAGGGAACAAATGAGAATGTTAATAAGATTATTCATTTTGCATTGTAATAGGGAAATAGTAGCGGTCGCTTAACACTTTGAGATCGTTCTTTTTTGTGGGAGTTTTAAGTCCCTAAGAGCTGTTCTTCCATCCTAATTACAGCGAAAGCATGGTTTGGAGTACACTTTTGCTTTAACATTTGAAAACGAGAGATGGGAACAGTTGAAGTGTCATTTGGTTTATTTAATGCCTAGAATGATTGTTCATTTTTGTTGAACTTTACCTTCATTATAATGACATAATTTGTTTTGTTTTCTGAATAATTTGTAGAGTACAAACAGGAGACTTAATGATATTGAGATTTGTGTTCCTATTGTATATGGAACTATTGCCTTTTATCTTGGTCGAAAGGCTAGTGAGTGAGTATGTTTTTCCTTTTCTTCTTTCTTGCTTTGTGGTTATTAAGTAGATTTATCTCCTTCAATTAGGTTGCAGTACCATAAGTTGACTGTTTATGTGCATGGGGCAGCAATGAAGATCTTGGAGCGGTGATAAAGCATGTTGTGTTTCAATTACATCCCATTTTCAATAACCCTACAAGAATTGTTGAATCGCCAGCTTTTGAGTTATGAGTGTGGTTGGGGACTTGGGGAAATTTTGAAATTGGAATTAGGCTTTTCTTCCACAGTGACGTTTTTGACAAGCAGTTGGATTTGTTAGTTGCTTATTTGGTTGCTCACTTGTGATTTACTAGATGCGGTACCTTGTTTACTAACTAGGCTTCAATATTTGCAGGTGTCACCATTTGAAATTGTATCCTGAAGATGAATCTGGTCGTCAGTCAACCAGGAAACCTGTTGTTATGGAATCCTACAATGAGATTGTTTCTCCAGATCCTTCTGAGTGTTTCTTTGCTCGTGCACAGAATCATCCAGCAGTTCTTTTGCCTCGGCTTCCTGCTGGGTTTAGCTTGCCTGCTTCTTGTAAATTGGATTGTTTTTCCTTCTTTTGGACTTTTGTTCATCAACAGATTTCTGTGAGGATCTATTTACTTGTTTCTGCAGTGCCAGTCGAAAATATGAATGAAAAGGGAAGGGCCGATACCAAGAATCATCCACTCAATCAGTGGTTCATGAATTTCTCAGAGGCAGATGAACTTTTGAAACTTGCTGCAGTTCGTCAGCAGGTAAGAATAACTCGGTTGCTTTTTATTTTGGCAATTAACTTGGTTGAGCCATTGTGAAGTGTTCTGGTGGTTTTACTTTTTGTTATACTGCTAGTTATGATGCCATATGGTTATACTAGATGTCTAGTAAACTGTACAAGTTAGAGCATCTTTTAATCCATAGTGCAGTCAGCATTACCTGTTTTGCAGATATTCGGCCCGTCCTGTGCCATTTTTATACAAATTGTTGAGTCACACTCAGTAACCTGCTATCTTGGCCATGAATGTGGGTCTACTTCATAAGCTTTTGGCCTGACTTCAGGCTTTTATGTGTCACTATGCATGTCTGATTTAGTCATTTGATGTTCACACTCTTTTATCGTTTATGAACTTGTGGGACAATATCTTTTGACAGTTTATACTACATGATAGGTGCAAGCCCATATTGTTAAGCTCAGAAGACAGTTGAGTGTGATTGATGAGATGCCTCAACCATTGAAACCAGCCTCCAGTTACAAATGTACATGATCACGATAGGTTACTATCAGAGTTCACTTGTCGAGTTTATATTGGGGAAGACAAATTGAACTATGACAGAAGATGTACAGATGTATATATCAACCTTCTTTGTAGATTTAGTGTAACTTATTTCCTTAAAGAGTACTGATTGTAGCTAAGTAGTATGTTATCAACCACTACTGATCGTCTGGCCCTTTGTCTACCTGAAAAATGAAAGAGAACGCATGCCGCTTTTTAGTGAATAAATCTCCCTTGATAGTGGTGGCAGTAGCTGAAAAGTAAGCCTAAACCTCACCAGATAATATCAGCTTTATCCATAAATGGCCATTGCGGTTAACATTTGTTTTTACATTTTTTTTTTCAATGCGTGATTCATTTTCTGCCATTGGTCCTAGGAAGCCTGTTGCTATTGTTGTTCGTACTGTGACGATTCATTTAGTCTGTGTAAATTATGCTCTTGAATAAGGAAATTGGAAGTTTTTACTAGCATACTTCTAATTCCTGTTCACATATATAAAGTGATGATGACGGAAGAAAGCTTTACCTAAGTAGGAACCAAAAGCTTTCTTGAAGAGATATGTTTCAAGATTATGGAAGATAAAATTTGCACATTGGTATAAGGTGTCCTGGTTACCATTTTGTAAGTCACATTTACAACATGGTTAACATTCCCTCTCATGTAAAGATGGACATGATTGTGGATGAAGGAGGATGTAGGAGTTCAAAGGTCTTATGAAATTTGGATAACTTTTCTGAAGAAGGAATGTATGGGTCAGGTGCAACAGGTTATCTAGTTGTTGCATCAACGTGACTTTATGTTTTTTGGACTTTGGTGTGTGCATTTTGCGGCACTGCAACGGATTGTCTTTAAATTTGCTTGGAATTTCCCAAGTATATAATCACGTGACTGCAACAGGTAATGCCTAGGGTCCCGTTTTACAAATCTTCTTGCGTTCGAGAACTTCTAACTGGAGCTTGATGGGCCACCCCTTGCCTTCAATAATGGGGTTTCAACAAAGCTTTTGTGTTTTGTCCGTGTCTGCATAACAGATTCGAGCTTTTTTATATGTATCCATAAAGAAATGAAATGACTAGATTATTATCATTTGTACTTTGCTCATTGAGTTTATTACTCAATCATTGAGCTTTTGGGATTAGAATTATGGTAGAGCATAATATACATCATTACTCCATTATCTACCAAAAGCTTAATGTTCCCACGCCCCAATTCTATCCTAATGAACCCAAGAACAAATAAATAAATAGAAACCCCCCGTTGATCTAATCTTAGAGTCAACTTCCCATTTGTTTTATCATTACAGGCAGAGGAAAAATAATTAGCGCTTTTTGTGTTGGAAAGGAGGTGATATCTAGACATCTGGTGTTAAATCAGCATACCTAGCTATATATCCTGGTTGAATGTATCATCTGGAGTTACTGACAGCTAGAATGCAGACATGCTAGCCAACACAGGCAGCTAACTTAACGAAGGAATTTTCATTTAAGAGGGAAAATATTGGAATAAAGATCGGGAAAAAAGAGCAAGCTAGAATGCAGGTGGGAAGTTTTGAATGGGGTAGGTTGGCAAAGCTGAATTGAGCGGCCTTACGTAGTTATATTAACCATTTTTTTCTCTTTATGGCGTTTTCAGGACAAAAGTAACATGGCCTTCACATGCACATATCATCAGTTGGGATGTTGTCACCAATCGATCACCATATTTCTTAAAGGAAAAAAATAATGTCTTCTATTTTCGATCAGCTGGCAACAAAAGTTTAGCTATTGTGACTCTCCCTGATCAGTGAAAATGATAGCATAACCTATCTATTAATTCACACAACATGGATAATAGAGACCCGACCACTTCAAAAGTAAAGCACTATATATATATATATATATATATATATTATAAAAAATAACCTAATATGTGATAGAGGAAGGTCAGGATTACAAGTTTTAAGATTTGAATCACCTTTTAAATATGATTGTATAATTCAACTAAACTAACCTTTTGGTTCAAATATATTATTATTTGCACCTTCAGGTTACAGTCATATCACTTAGAAGTAATGAAGTTAGATATAAGCTTAATACAAATTTGTTCTGGGTTTTGGCAAGCAAGTTACATGCCTTTGCTAGCTGTTATTTGAAAGGGAATACATATTAAAGGAAGCAGGGAACTTAATTAGAAGACAGATAAGATTATCGTGTGACTTTTAAAGCCGCCTTTTCGCCCGTGAAACATGGGAAATATCTCCTATTTTAGATGAATGAAAGGCTGTAGTATTTTGATTTAGCACTCTATCCTGTATTTGATTATTGTAGCTTTAGAGTTTCATGTTTTTGGCTGAAGCACATGGGGAGTCCCATAAGTGTTTGAGAATTCTATGTGAACTCCACAACATTAAGTTTGCGCCCCATATGCTTGAGTTACCGTTAGGCATTCAACTTGGCCACTGACGAGGCTGGATGATTTAATAGTTGGTCGTGGATATATTGAGAGTATATTTACTTGCCAACTAAGCTAATCATACGAGACAGCTTGCAGATATGTTGATAATAGATATAAAATCTAAAAAAAATACAATATAAAATTTGGTCTGGGGCCTCCGTCCCTGCATTCTGGGAGGAAGCTTGCAACCGTCTTCCAACTTTCATGTCGATCTTATCGCAAAAATCAATGAACGTATTGAGTTTGTGAGAAATCAATATCACGAGATAATTAGGTTCTACACGTCTTAACAATTTTGTGCTCTTTGAGTTGGTGAAATGTAGGATGACATAAGATAAGAGGAATTTGGGAGAAGAGACCCATGCTTCCCCTTCGATGACTATGTGATTACGTGGGGCTAAGCTTTGTTTGTTGTTGCTGTAATCTTTCAATTT